TATGAACGATCTTAATCCTAGCCCCTGTACTACGATTGGCCGATCCATCATCACATTCTCGCCATTCGCACTCTGGCTTCCTATTGGCTCTACCAGACTGACTTATCACATCAAGCCGAGCCATGCGTCAGGAGCCAATCAGAAGCTGACACCCATTGTGTAATGAATTAAATACTTATTATTCTTTGTCTCATTTGTCTGTACACTTACCACCCGGGGGCCACGCGTTTCTTTCATTTGTACCTCATTCTGTCATATTCAGGCCGTTTGCAACAGTGTCTTCGTCTCTGACCAGCTCGGGTGTCAGTACACGGTAACGCATGAAAGACACTTTACCTATTTGGATCTCAACACATTTGCCAACCCCGTTTACTCTTTCATTGGACACACCAAATCATTTTTGGGCTCATCTTGAGCTCGACAGACCGGCCCAACTTGGCATGGAAATGCATGGGATGTACAACTCGTCTCCACGAGGGGTTTCTATGGTCCAAACATGCGAAAACCATCCGAACAGTGATGGGCCGCGTGGCCATAGAAACCGTTAAAGTCCGCCGTAGCGGTTAGTATGTTTGTCCCACCCAGACGGGCCTCGACGGGGGCGAGGAGATCGGCAGCTCCGTTGGTCGGAGCTGGTCGAAAACACACACACACACACGTTCTCTCTCTGCTTCCGGCAGACGACATGCCCACTTGAGAGGGGTGGGGGACAGTGAAAAAGCGACCTCTTAAGCGGGACTCCCAAACCCGGCTGCACTAAAGGCAAAAGGATACTTTTAAAAATAATTTCGTCTCTCTGTCTTTCCCTGCTTTGAATGGTATTCACCTTCTACCCGACTAAACCCCGCCTCATGGGCCACCACCCATCCCTCTCCAACTACCGCTTGTTTTTTGTCCACCTCTTTCATCTGACCCCCTTGCACGGCGATCTGTCTTGCCTGTCGAGCATTGAGCAAAGAGGGAGCGGACGTCCGGAGCTTTCTGCTCCTGCATTTTCACCTCGAATTGGTATTGGCAGGGGGCCCTCTGTCCGAGAGGAGGCAGCCATGCGACCACTTGGGTTGTCGACGAGCGAACGGACACACTCACATTCCAGGCCTCCAGGTCGGGGTCTGCGCGTTGCCGGGGTGTTGTGCGTTTGTGCGTGGAGGGGGGGAGATGGGGGTGGACAGGGGAGGGAGAGACAATGAGGTTAATTGGCCGGGACTGCCGGAAGGAGAGCACATTCCGTGACAGGCTGAGCGGATGAGGCAACTTGGCCCCCACCGCAACTTAGTCTATGCGAAGGAAAGTTGGGCTTCGTGAGAGCGCCCAGGTTACAAAGGTTGAGCTCACCGGCAGTTGAAGTGAAAGCGGACGTGATGAAGAGATTCATGCAGAAGTAGAGGGCGGATTCCTCTCGACTTGCGTTACTGGGACGGTCTTGTCGACGCCGTCTTGGAGGCGATCTCGTTCTAGTTCGATGAAAACAGACAAAGACATGGTAAGCAGTGTCAACAAGAATGTTCCTGTAAAGCCCGAATACGACTGTTCGAGAGAAATCCGCAGTCCCCTTCACCGCATACTTTTTTTCGAGTTGGAAGTCGACTGATCAAGTGTAAGCCAGCGCAGTCGGAGAAATATGAGATGTATTCACCCTATTTCGTGTAAGGTGATGAAGGACTGGTTGTCGAATTTACCCACAATGCTATGAGTAGAGCTGGCGTTTCCGTTGCATTTCACATGGCCTCGCTTTGCCTAAAGTTGCTCTCATCCAAGCTGAAGTGGACTGCAGTTTTGAGCTCGCATCGGTCTTATCCACACCCCCAGCGGGAGTCGAATCGTGACAGTGACGAATGGGAGCTTGACACGTTAACCACATTGCCACGAGTGCCCTTGGAACACTTGTGGGGATGAATGCATCTCATATTAGTGACTAACTGGTAGTCTCGAAACTCTACTTACATGCGAAAAATCGGTCCGAGAAAGCCGAATTATCTTGGCAGCTACATGAGAATAGCTGCCGTCGAGTCGACCAATCAAATCTCGCCACTCCACCGAGCCTGTCTTTGGACCTATCAGATCGTCACCTCTCGCACCAATCATAAACCGACCTCCGAAGCACGTCAGGGTTTAAGCCATAAGACCGTCTGACTCACCTTTAGCCAGTAACGCATAA